CTATATTATTACAAAAATAACCCTGTGTTATTACAAACCATATACATTATTACCTACATTATTAAAAAAGCTTTAATGTATGCAGAAGTGCACATCTACCCCAAGAGCGATGGCGCATGTACCTCCCTCCCCTCCCAAGATATTATAGAGCTAGCCTCTTCTTATAAACATTGTAAGCTAAAGTGGCATTTAAAAAAAATCAAATTTCATACAAAATTACATTTTCATTAGTCTTTTTTATGCTTTCATCTTGTACCAAAGTTTGAAATCTTTTATTCCAAAAATTCAAAACCCTGTCGAGATATTTCCCCCCCCCCCTCAAAAATTCAAAACCCTGTCGAAACACGGGCTCCTCTAAAATTTTGATGAAATACACTTCTGAGCACCCTTGAATATATGAATATATATATTCCCAAATTATTACAGGATATATAGATACTTAATGTTTCAACTGTGGTTTTAGTAAAATTTAGTTTTAGAACCATTATCAGCTGTAAAATTTCTTTGGATTCTGACAAACCGAAGTAGGTATTTGTGGGCATAGTTTTAATGTTATATTATTTTTTTTATTCCTGGATGAGATTAATTTGTACAGATTCCAAACAAATGCCAGTTTAGAATCTTTAGGTGATTAAAACATAGTGTAAAAATAGGCAAAAAAAATTTATTTTTTTTAATTTTTAGATATTTGTTTATGGAAAATTGGGTCTATTATAGTTAAATATTCGGGTATTAACCTGATGATCATAAACATAATTTGATCAATCTGATGATCATAAACATAATTTGATCCATCTGATGAAATCAGTTCCAGAAGTTACTGGTGAATGAAATTTTTATTATCTTTCGATGAAGGTAACTTTTATCCATATTTTTCTCTAACAGCATTTTTTCTCCCTCGCTCTTTTGTATACCCAATTATCATCATCGTGCAAAGAGCCATTTCTTAATTTTTTTTAAGCTAATAGGCTCTGTATAACTACTTTAACTTCTAGCTGCAAACTAATGAAGTTAAAGCCTGTCTTCACGACAGTGGGTTCAACATTAGGCAAGTTGTACAAGTATTATTTTGGGCCCGTTACGAAACATAATAATCACGAATTATACATACATTGACCCATAATTATTATTTTTGAATTTCCTACTCTAATATTTCTGAAGTAACGTCTAAAAATCCAGAAAGATAATCAAGAGATGTAGATTATTAAAAAAAATCTAATCCTGCACGTATTGATTATTTAAAAAAAATCTAATCCTGAACGCATTGAGCACAAAACTTATTAATAAATATATTAATTTTTTTCATCTATTATTTTCAGAATTTTGGCATTTCATCCACTTTCCGGAACATAATACTAGAGAATGGAGATGATATTGTGCTATTTCTTTTATTTGAAAATATTCTCACAGTGCTACAACTATTATGCAGAGCTGTTTTTTTTTTTCAAGTCAATTTCAGATCATAGGGCTTTTCAGAATAGAATCTTTATAATAATATTATTTTTTTTTCTGATTGCCTAAACGACTTTGTTGTCTAGTGAGGAATGACGCAAACACGTCCATTTCAGAAAAAAAAAAAAAAAAAAAAAAAAAAACTAGGGCACAATATCAAATCTATATTTACCATGTATGCAAAATTTGCAAAAAAATATTATTAGAAAATAATAATTACCTTTATTTAGCTAAAACTTTAAATGAAGTAAAATTTAAATGAATCGACGATCCCACAAAGTATTGTTTAGGGGTATCTATAGACAAACAAGATATAGAATATTTAATAGTTGACCGTTGCATTATAAAGGAAGGAACTAGTCCGGGGTGGCGGTCATAAGTAGGCTAAATAGTGGCAAAACCATTTTATTAAAAACCATCGATTCGACCCGACTTTGCAGGTCTTCTTCAGGGAGGTCTGTTCAGCTAGAAGAACTTCTAAGTGAAATTCCTTGCTGAACACACCTCTCTGAAGAAGACCTGCAAAGTTGGGTCGAAACGTTGGCTTTTAATAAAATAGTTTTGCCACTATTCAGCCTATTTATGACCGCCACTCCGGACCATCTCCTTTCTTTTTTTAAATAAGATATATTTGGTATAGTCCAAAAAAATAAGGTCTTGTCAACGCTGCAAGGTAAAAAAAAAATACATTTTTACAAAAAAAAAAAAAAAAAAAAAAAGATACATGATATACGGCATGCCATATGGCGGAATACATGATTTCTTCATAGGCAACATTTATATGGGTCAGAATCATAGCCGGTCACAAACTGATATGCAAATAAATTATGAGAGCGGTTTCAAAAAGGAGAAATAAGAAGTAAGTTAAGGATTGAACGAATTATTTTAAATGATACCACCGAAAGAAGATTGAAATGATACGGAACCTCACGCTAAAGGAAGAAAAGAGATGGCTCTTTGCACTAGCGGGTTTAATTTTGGGGGAGGGGAGGGGCTTCAGCACGAAATCTTTTTTTTTTCATAAAAATAACGATAATTACTTTGGAAAAACAGAAAGAAACAAACTACCTATATGAAATGGTGTTTAAGTTATTCCTTAAGTACTTTTAAATGTAATTACACGAACAATAATACTGTAAGAGGTATTTTTAAAATTTTTTTTCCCATAAAACATGGTTATATTTTTCCATTTTGGGGGGGCTTCAGCCCGAAAGTTCCCCTGCCCCCCGTAGTACCGCCCGTGGCTCTTTGAATGATTGAAGTTTAAATACTGCCATGAATAGAGATAATGAAGACCTCGAAAGCTGAGAATAGAAGCTGTCAGGGAAGATAAGACAGAGGATTAATACGCTGATAAAGAATATTAAAGAGTGTGTGGCAACCGAATGTACAGACAGTAAATCTGTAACTTTCATCCTTCAACACTCTCGTGAAGATCTTCCGTAGTAACAATGGGGAAAATATCGCTTTCTAAAAAGCCTTGTCTAGTAAGCACACCTGAAAAGTAGGTAATTTTCTGATTCGCTCTTTTACAGAACATCCACAATTCATACTTATTACGTGATTCTTAAAACTTATCGAGGATGTCACGATTCTTAATAACCAAACTGGAGGGAGTGATTCTAGACAAAATTTCTAACAAAAAAAATCACCAAAGACCAAATTTGTATAGTCTCGTTTTTATTGAATAAGACTGGATTGCTCAAGAGCTGTTTAAGATAATGAAATTTTAAGAACACCATTGTAAAGTAGACAATTTTTTTTTAATGAATATTGATTAAATTTACAAAGATCAATGATAAAAGGGCTTTCAGGAGGTTTAAGACGGCCTCTGTACAGTTTGTATGGGAACTGTAACTGCAGCAGTGCAGCGGCCGTATTAGACTTCCTGAAAGTCCCTTTTATCATTGATCTTTGTAAATTTAATCAATACACATTCAAAATAATTTTTCTACTTTATGACCGTGTACTTAGAATTGAATTATCTTGAACAGTTTTTGAGCAACTCCTCTTCTTATTCGATAAAAAAAGTGATCACACAAAAGTGCTCTTAACTTCTTTTCCGTTCGGAATCGGCCCATGCATCTAACATTAAGAACTGAGACACTCAGCACATTTTAAGTCTAAATTCAAATTACCTGAAGTATTTCAACAAAAATGGTCATGTTTATATCGTAAAATAATTTCTTATACATTTAACTTGAGTAGTTTTTCGTAATGTCACACATACATTTTTAAAACTGCAAGGATTTATCTGCTTGAATACAAATTTTTAACAGTTGCAAGCACTCTAATATCAAATGGTTGTTTGTTGGTATAAGGAGAAATTACCTTCTTTATGAAGTTAATCGCCTTCAATACCCAAACTTCGTTGAACGAGGCGAAAGTGTAGAATATCGCTTATTACAACGGTACATCATTGGACCTCAGAAGGCAATTTCATATTTTCTGGAAGCATATTTCAGGTATAAAATACTGAGGACGTGACGAAAGGCGTTACCTGCTTTAACATTCTTTAGTCCAGCGACGTCACACACTGACGTCCACAGCGTAAGGTTTGTTTGGACATCAGCTATAACTTACTCGTAAATTTTAGTTTACTGCTCACAGCTCAAATTTGGTCTGTTTAGATGTTTTTGAGGTAAACTTTTTTTTTAGCACATCTTGACTTATTTGATTTTCGCCATCAGTCTTCTAGCAGTTTTAGGCGATAACTGCTCATTTGGCTCTCTTATATAGATATCCAGGGAGCACGTAGTTTATCATAACCGGACGCGACCACAAATCACACCCTCTTCATCGGGATGGTTGGCAACCTTTGGCAGACATCTCCATCCTGTTGTTTTTTTACAGGATACGGTCATTAGACCCTTGCCCAACCCCGAATCTGGAGGACCACGGAGCTATGTTGTTAGACACTGGCGTCGCTCACCTTCCTGTGAATCTGTGTAGAAACGTTTCCGTCCCTATGCGGAAATCGAACCCGCGCAGTAGTGGTCTAACTAAGCAATCGAGTAGGGATTGCACTTATTTATATTTTGTATCTTTTTTTTTTTGTGTTTAAATCTCGCTAACTATATTTAAACTCTTAGCATGAAATTTTTCTAGGCCCCTTAACCCGCTCAACCACCGCGCCCCGCGATACACTCGAAATTGAAACATGGTCAAATGTCCTTTGACACTTACTTTTCAATGATAACGATTCATTGAAATCAATCGGTTAATAAATCAGCGATTATGAATATTATTCTAAAAATAATATTTATTGTGCTTTACAATTTAATTATTTTTTAAAATAAAGTCAATATTAGAGATATACCAAACTTTAAAATTTTGATTACCAAGTACTGTTAATGTATATTCCTTAAACCAATAATGTTAACAGATTTTTAACATTGGCAAAAAAATTAAAGCAGTAGTTGATAGTTTAGATTATTAAACAATGAAATAATTTTGTTATTAAGAAAATCAACTTTAAACTGAAATTATTTCATAAGTACATTTATTCCATTTAAATATTGTTTTGATGTTAATAAAATCAAACTTACTTCTGGCTCCTCTTTGGCGATGGTTGTCATCGAATTTCGATAGATGTTGGGGCAAGATGAAACTCGAAGGCGATATTTGCCCATGTTGAGAAGCGCACCACGGTACATCACAGAGTTTCTAAAATAACCAACAAAAAACAAATAATAAATTCATCTAAAAATATGAATAATAAAAAAAAAAAAAGGATTAATATGAGATGAAATAAATAAAATATACTGTATTCATAGCGAGGATAAGAAGTGATACATCATATCTACTAAAGTATTACATTATAGCAGGAACGAAAAACTTTTTTGAAACAAATGAAAAATAGTCAAATTTTTATTTTGTATTTTGGTAGGTTGTTATATAGTCAAAGCGTAAAACCTGTTAGTTATCAACGCCGTTTACTACGTTAAAATTATAACAATTATATTTAAAACGACGTTAAAGATTATATATAATTATATCTGCTGGTTGTGATTAATAGGCATAAAACCAAATACATGTTAAGTTTAAAGTTATTTAAGGTTATTAAAGATTTTTGAAGTTAAGTTTAGAGTTAGAACGTTAAGTAAAAAGAATAAAAAGGGGTTGTGGTGCGTGAAAGGTTCAGAGATTTTTAAAGATTCCTTCTTCAGATATAAAACAAAGGACTTTACTCGAGATCTTTTCATCATTTTCCAAATCAATTGATGTATTTGCTCTAAAAGATATGAACCACTGGCATTCTCTCCTCACACCTGCCACAACACGGCGGGTTTTCTTAAGTATTCTTAATCGAGGGTAAGAGCTTTTTTTGCTGCTCTATCAACCATTTCATTCCCAACAATGACTACATTACCTTCTAATGTTGTTTATCTGTTTTATGAGCCCCAAAATAATATTCTCAAGTGGTCAAGTTGTTACAACTTGTTCATGGCTTTAAGGGTGCTTAAAGAATCTGATACGACAACCATATTTACAACTGGCGAATTCCATTACGATAGCATTAATCTCAGCGGTATATATATATATATATATATATCTATTTTTTTATATTTTTCTTGCATCTAAGAAGGCATATTAAAATAAAATAATATTTTTCGTTCTTCTTTGTTCGATATACGCTTTCGCAATGAAAACGTTCTTGTATGTAGAGCTGAAACTAGTCTCATCAACATTTATTTATACTGTATATGGAGTAAGCGTTTAGAGCAAGCAGAATAATAATTTAACCACTTCTATTAAAGATTTTAGTAACCTTGAGGTTATGACTTTTCCAGGTAACATCCTGTGATTCATGGAATATGAAAAAAACAAAAAAAACAAATGGCAGAACTATAGCAATAACCATTTATTTTCTGTTTAAAAGTCTATTTTTTGTTTACATGAATTTAATGTTAAAATTAAATTTATTTAAACAAATTAATTAATTTTTTGAATTGTTAAATATTGGGACAAGCTAAAAAATGCTGATAAAATAAATATGAAGCAGTAAAAAATTCCCTCAAGCATAAAAAAAAAAAAAGGCCTTCAATTTGTTATCTGTATGTTCATATTGTGTGAATGAATCATGTAGCCTTAATATTAATTCCCTTCAATGTGGCAGAATGTATTAATATTCAATAAAAAAAATAAATAAATAAAAATTTGTTATCAGAGATGACGCTTCAGCAGTCTGGTATGGTTGGCAGTTATCTCTGCTGTTACTTATCGTCTTCCTGCGGAACTAAATCATACAATACCAGGACTAATATAGAAATCATTTATTTCCTACAAACTCGTCTGCAAAAATCAACTCCTAAATAAAAAAAAAATAAGTAGCGGCTGTCTTGAAATTTTGTAAAACAAAAATGCTATGATAAATGAAATACTGCGGCTTTTAATGTGTTATGTAGAAAACAATATCATTGTAATAAGATCAGTTATAAAGATCATAGGAAAAATACGATCACACTTCTTCATAAATGTTCAGGAGAAGTTTACCAAGAAGTTTGTCAAAACTGTTTACATTTGCAGAGTAAAAAAATAAATATATATCTTTAGATTCTTGCTGTGAAGAAGAAAGTGGTAAATTTTAGTGATGTGAAGGCCCTGAAAGAACTAATTAAAAAAAAAAAGGTTAAGCAAAAAGTTCACTAAGAACACTAATACAGAACTATTAAACGATGAACATCCGGTAGTTCAGTGTAGAGGAACGGAGTGTACGATATATATAGTACGGTTCCAAGTATCTCATCTCACCAACACCATTAACATCAAAAAAGTAAAGCACGAAATTGTGACTTGAACTAAGTAGACTTTTTTTTAAAATCTTACATGGCACAATCTTCAAATAACAATTTCTTCTACATCTATTACGAAATTACTAACGCTATCATTGAATTCGGCTCTACAAAAAAAAAAAAAAAAATTTCCAACACCTCTATTTCCGAGAGAATTTTTTTCTAATTAGTTCAATATAATGATGCTGCGAATGGTGCCATCTCCAAAAGAAATATTAAATGAAAAGAACAATTTCTTCAACCTAGAGTGAAGTGAAAATTTTACATTAAAAAATAATAAATTTTTAGTAAATACATTTTTTTCTGCTCTTTTTTAAGGGAGTATACACACCATAAACGAATAGCTAGAGGTTTTTAAAGAAAAAAACTTTAGGCAGAATTCATAAAGATCGTCAAAGAAGTTTTGGCGTAAAGTCACAGAAAAAAAAAACAGTTTCAACATTAGTGCAGTCGCTATAGCGAAAATACTTGACATACCACAAAACGCGAGCTAGATATATATTAATATCTAGGTATATAATAAATATCTTTAATTCTGTACTTGGATTCTTTTGTCTCATTAGTTATTGAAATAATCCTCAAAATAATCATATTAACGGTTCTTCAGTCGGTTTCCTCAGTCAGCTGTTTACATGCAGATTTTCTGTTTTCTTTATTTCTATAAACAAGGACATTAACCCTACTGTCCCGCTGTCATGACGTTACTACCTTCTGAACCAGACTGAAGGTGTGAAATTTAGTACATTTCAGATATTAAGCATTGCGTTATTATTTTTGCCAGACAAATATTATGTAAACTTTATTAGCTCCATTACAGTCCTAAAATAGAAATATTAAAAAAATTAAACAGTTTTATCAGTTTAAATAACCAAATAGTTTTTTTCAAATGCTTTGATAATAATTTTGATAATTGATGGTAACAGAGCCGATAAACTTTAAATGTTTTTTTTCTGGAATTGAAAAACATATTCTGTTGCAATATTGGAGCTCGTTATGAGAACTTATTAACAATTGATGTTCTTATCCTGTAGAATTAGAATAAGAGGTCCGTGAGAAAGATTTGAAGACTTCGCTGAAATCTGTTCTCTAAGTCTTGACAATGTGTCTTGTTGTGTCCAGTCAGTGCCTTTTAGATAACCACTTCTAAGCTATCAGAGATAGCTTGTCTTATTAATATAAAATAAGGCTGCGGTTTGTTATTTCTTCACTACATTTATTGCAATTTACATCGGCTACGTTTCTATTAATTTTACACACGGATGTAATTTTACATTCTATGATGGTGATATTAGTCATATTTAATTAACTATACTCTAATTGGGTGGTCAATTTATTAATTTGTAAATTAATAATTAAAAACAAATATGCACATATTCATGTCTTATTTATCTGGGAATAGTTATATCCTTCTGTCCTTTAAGTTAGAGAAATTGTCAATACACGATTCACCAATTGGCACAGTTTATAAACTCAATTATTAAAATAAAGGTTAAATTAATATTATTATTTGTTACGGATAAAGTCCATTCCAGTAACTCATGTCAAACAAGCAGACGAAATACCGAACAAGCGTGTTAGAACAGGGCCTCGAACAGAAAGGAACATACTCTATTTCACAGGCGGATTTACGGGGGAAGGGGGCTTTCGGGCTGAAGCCCCCCCTCCCCAAAATGGTAAAACGTAACCATGTTTTATGTTAAAAAATATTAAAAAATTATCTCTTAAAGTATTATTGCTCGTTTAATTACATTTAATAGGACTTCCAGAATCACTTAAACATCATTTCATATAGGTAGTTAGTATCTTTCTGTTTTTCCAAAGTAATTATCGTTATATATATATGAAAAAAAAAGCTTTCGGGCTGAAGCCCCTCCCCTTCAAAATTAAATCCTGGATCCGCTAGTGCTCTATTTGATTCGTATTTTTTGAACTGTTGATGCGAATTTCGGTCTGCATATACGAGTATATTATTCTGTTCTATTTAGTTCCCAGATGATTCCTGCTTTGGCGAAATGTTGACAGATTAATTGTTTTTCTGTGTTCTAGAGGCTTTGTATATGAAATCTTCGAAGTATTCGAGCAATTGATTTACGTCTCTTTTATATTTTAATAATATATATCAGTCAGTTATAGTAAAACAAAATGGTATGATTCTATTGTTTCAGTTAAACAGATACAAATAATGCAAGTTTTCACAAGGAAAATGTTTTCAAAAGTTAAAAAACCCAATTAATATAAATTTGGTTTCCTTTCAACAGAAGCATTATATAATCAAGCTAAACATGGCCGAATATAGTGTTAACCGTTAATTATCGAAATAACTATACAATTGATATCCCTTCTATATATTATATCGAGAAGTAACCTAAAAAATTATCGATTATTTCCTAGCAACTCCTTGAAATTGTACCTTTAAAAAAAAACTTAAGAAGACCACACGATAGAAGTGAAAACATTAACAATGCGAGATTAATAATACGAAATATAAATCATAAATAATAGCTCATTATAAAGAGGACGAAATGCTCAACATTTCCCTCGCTTACAGTATGCATGTCATATATTTAGTTTCTGAGATATTTTAATTAATGTCTTTAATAAAGCTAGTTATCAATAGATTTCCGACATTATTATTTCCTCTTCGCCTCTCTAACAATGCGTCACGTTACTGTACAATTTTGAATAATAGCTCATTACAAAGAGGATGAATTGCTGAACATTTTGCTAGTTAACAATACGCAGATTCGAATTTTAGTTTTTGATATATTTTAATCCATATGCAAAAATACTTCAATTAATCGACTCCAGCCGACTTTACCCGAGCGTTACACATCGGAATTTGAAAGCTCAATCTAATTTATTCGCGACAAAAAAAGTACACAACGCGCCTTAGAAAGTTCTCACTTCAAAACCTTCACAAGTGCCACTCCATCGTGATCGCTGGGCGAAAGATTTCATGATCACACTGCAGAACGAAATCAGAAAATGATATATTTGAATATAACGAGTATGTCCGAAAGCAGACAGAGCTGATTGAACCCTTTGATAAGGCTCCGACTTCCAACTGAAAAGAGCTCGCTGGAGGTTTATCCCTTTTGAGCTTAATGAGAGTAAACCCAAAGCATCGATATAATTAAAGCTAATTAAGTCTCTGATTCTAACTAAAAAGAACCCAAGTAGTTGGCGTAGGTCGTGAATCGCGAACTAAATAAAGGAAGGCCGCACTCATGAACACGTGGTCAATACTCGGCCATTCTCCGAATTCCAGTTAAGCCGTATTCGTGAACTCTTGCACCAATCCATTATGGAAGAATGACACTTGTGAAGTGGTAACAAGAAAAATATTGTAATTTAACTGATTTCAATTCAAATAAATCAGTAAACAGAATTTAATACGACTAGGAATTTCATTTATTATTTATTACAAATGACAGGTGGAGTATATAACCAATACAACAATATTGCACCAATACAACCAATGATTGTGTTTTATAGGAATAATATAATATTATGTAATAAAACAATAGTCTCTAATCACCGTATTTATGATGTTTCTATGAAAAAACCGGGAATTAATGCCTGAAGTACTTCAGACAATATTCGAATTTAGAATGCCCATAAAAGCTCACTGCAAAAATAATTATAAAAAAAAAAAATAATTATGGATGATAGCAGGATGAAAATAAAAATATAAGGAATGCATATCAGAAGAATCCGTACTAAATAGTGGCCTGAGAGACTCACTATTGCCTGTTCTGTCCAATTTAGCGTTGAAAAAAAAAAACAAGGGCAATACGAACCAACCTTAATGGAACTATTTACAATCGACACCAAAGAATTTCAGAAGGAAGCGAAAGAGTAGTTCTTCATGCCATTGAAGGAAAAACGAAATATTTAAAAACTTCCAGGAGCCAACAACTAGAACACCACGATTTGCAAATCGGTGAACGCAGTAGCTTGGTTTTGCCATAACAGATGACAACGGAATGAAAGAGGAAGTGAATGCGAGAGTGCCTGCAGGTAACATTGTGCTTTTATAAGTATCTTTATACCCAACAAAAAACATTAAAGTTTAAATATCTCTCAAAAATCGTCACATACGAAACTACTACGAGACCCAAAGTTACTTATGGCAGTGACTCCTTGATATTGATATTGATAAATGGGAGTAAAAGGAGACCCAATGTCTGGGGAAAAAGAAATATACTACAGAAGTTATATGGGCCAATAAGAGAAAATGGTACGTTGACATTAAGGAAGAATTGTGAGCTCCGTGCTATGTCTGGGAAATCAAAGCTGCGCCCAGAAGGGGGTTTCATGGCGCAAGTTATGCCATCAAAATTTTTGAGAGAGCACATTTCCATGGAGTAATGAATTTTCGAAGCGAAAAATTTTAAATCAAAAGAAAAGTGGAAGCATACAACAGAGTGTAGAAAGTGTAATTGTGTTTAATCTAAGAACTTTTACATTCTAGTTTTGTTTGCACTGTTTTTAAGAAGAGGAGAGTAATAAAATAACTTGGGAATGGTTGGGAAAGGTCCATGCACCATTGAACCTGTTATCAGTAAGCGTATGCGGGACTCCTGCAAACCTGGTACCCTAAGTGAAGAAAACCCGACTCAGATAGCTGGGAAATGTAGAAAAGTTGCCTGAATCTAGGACGCCAAGACGCCAGGTGTGTTGAAAAATTGGAGGGGAACGATGCAGAAGAAGAACAAGAGTGAGATGGTTGAATGACGTCGAGGAGGGCCTCAATTTGTTTGTAGTAAGTAAGTAGATGGAGGAAATAATAGGGATGACTGGCTTGAAGTACTTGAGGATGGCCAGGTACTTGTAAGACCATAGCGCCCAGTAGTAAGTAAACGATTTAAAGAATTTTTCAGTGCGCATGCGCTAGTTCCTGTGAAAACTTATTTTTGCTTCCATGTAGCAAGTTGTTGATAACTTCAAGAGCCACATGACAATCACGTTGAGGAGAAATATTTTAAATTAAATATAACCATTGCTGTCATTTAAATGACTGTAAATCTTGAAACAGTTTTGTGGTTTATTGTTTATATGGCGATTTAGTCCAATATTTTAAAATAATGGCTCTTGACAAACCAGCTGTCTAAACTTATGTAGAGGAGGAATTCTTTCTCCTGCCTCAGCATAATTTCCCGGCTTTATCCTCTGCTCATAATATGAGGCTTATGTTCTTCTTTGTGCTGCTACACGAGGCACCAACAGAGGTATCATAAGTTTATAACATGAGAGTTATGTATAAACACTAACAGATATCAATGCAGAACATCTTAAGTGAATTAATTTGATTTATGGAAAGAATTGCAAGATATATTTACCTGTGGACTCTGACATGTCTTAGATGATGACCTTCCCTTCGAGACGGAGACTTCTCCCTCAGGTCGTGTGCGGAAGAAGATACGACATCGCGCAGGATGTTAGGGTACTTCTCGAGGACTGTTTTGTACAATGTTTCATTCGAGATCAAGCCTTCAACGACATCAGCTGGCAGCTGAAAAATAAATTGACAAATTATGAAACTCCATTAAATGTTGAGGACAGTATCTTAAAATTATTGATAAGAAGTATTAGAAAAAAGGGTGATCAGAATTGCAATGTTCTTCGTTGTCTAAGAAGTTATGGACAGAAAGACGATTTCATGTTCCGGCGTCATTAATGTTATGAAACTACACGCCACCGACAGAGCAGGCAACTGTGAAAAATTGAATGTCAAGGTATCTAATATCTGATGAGTAACCAATTTTCAAGAGATAACTCAACACATTAATTATATTGAGTTATTTTTTAGCACTATCTTTTTCAAGGGCACTGGGTGACCTTTCATTCGGTATCTCCAATGAATGAATTGCCTTAATAATTTTACCATTTAAGGTAAATTTATCGGTAATAGGCACTTTAAGAGAATTTTTCAACATTAATGTGAATCACAACTAAAATTATGCCGGTGGGTATTTGCAAATGCGCTTAATTGTTAGGAAATTTAGTTTTTTACCAATTTCATTTTTTTCCAAGCAGTCAATTAGTTAATTATTCATATACAACTTAAGAAATTCTGACACCATATTTTGTACCGGTAATAGACACTCACTCAGGTTTCAGAGTCTTCGTATTTTTTTATATAGTTAAAAAAGCCCAAAATAAATTCTCCACAGTTTTAAACAAGGAAAGAGGAAACTACAGACAAAAATCAAAACCTATCTTGTAAAGAAAAGCTTCCTGAAACAAACACTCAGCCTTGTTCTATTTAAAACCCAATTTATAAAAATTAACCAATCGGCTATATCACCTGGCACCACCTTCCTATGTGTTCTAGTTTCAAATATTCAAGTATTTGCACCGTAGTCCCTCCTTGGTATTTTTTAATATATTTTTTTAAAACATATTTATTGAGAGATATTACAATCTGTCACAAATAAAGACATTTATAATAGTGTTCAGAGAGCAAATTCACGCTCCATCAACAATAAATAGTACAGAAAAAACTATAATGCTAAAAGTAAATGTATATAAACTAAACCAAACAAAAGAAAGTAAACTAATAAAAACAATTACTCACATACACACACCCTAGGTAAGTAAAATGTTTGCTCTGATATGCAAATAGATATATAATTCAATTTGAATGTAAAACGATAGCCGTTGGTTACTATGAAGAGGAACAAAAACACAAAGTAAATTGGTGATTATGGGACATGTTATCTATTGTCATAGTTCAATCCGTTTGACTGATCACGAATTAATTTAACTATGTCGGAGGGACAGCAAGCAGAGGAGCATATTAACTTTGAGGAAAATTTAAGTGATATTTTATTTTTAGTTTCGAAAAAAAATTGTTGAATAAATTTATTAATTGCCTTGACCTTAATTAAGTCAATAAAAAGAGATAATGAGTTACGAAGGTTTTAGACAAATTCGACTAAAAATGTAGTCTCTTTCAACGCACCAGAAAGAGAAAATGTGGAGCCTCAAACTTATATAAGAAAAATTAATAAAATTAGGATCAGGAAATTTTAAATCAGGTAATGAAGAGCAATAGACTATAGCATAGTAAGGAGACCTTTTTATCGTTAGAGATTGCAATAGAGTTAGGCAGTGATAATGAAAACCACAACATTTCTTTAGATTTTACTGATGCTATTTTTATCTATAAGCCCATAGAAATTCTATTAAAACTTGATTCTACTAATTCTCGAATTTTTGTAACCTAAATAATTAAATATGTCAAATTCAGATTCAGCATCCCAAAAAAACAAAACATAAAAATCGAAGAGAAACCAACTATTGGAATTTTTATCCGTATCCAACTACTATTCGACTGGCCTAATTTGATGACTTTGACGTCGTCAGTTTTCAAAACGCATGCGATTACATCGTCAGTAGTGTTGGCCAAAATCGGTTGCAAGACCAAGACCAGGACTGGTAAAAAAAAATCGATTATTTGAAGAAACATTAATGCAAAATAGTTAATAATACTTAACAATCTTAGTTACTATATGTAAATAATTGGTATAACCAATATACTTTTGCATTTAACTCCTTTAATTTTTTATTCGGGCCTAGTTAGGTTTCTCCTATCTAAAAAAATACAATAATATCTTTATAGTAATAAGCTAATAAGTAACTTTTGCGAGACTCTTGCTCAAGACCAAGACTCGTCTCGGTCTCGCATTTGGGCAACACTAATCGTCAGTCAAGATAAATTATCTTTTAGGGACATATTCTTGACTTCATATAAAAATTTCAGCCGCCAGTTCTTCCGTTAATTGAATCGCCTATCTAATTTAAATTTTCCTATAGAAAGCAATGGATTTCAACCGTCTGACCTAAGTTGTGTGTTCAGAAGAAATTTATCTAAAATTTAAAATGGTTAATTGCTATAATTCCTTCCGTTAAATGAGATGATCGGTAGCTCCTAGCCTACTAGAGCAAGAGTTATTGCGCGAGGAAGTAAACAAGAACTATTCGTCTAAACTTTTGTGTTTCTTAACAGAGCGAGAGTAAGATAGACTGGATATGTAGTCAAGTTTATCTCCTGTGCCTTCCTGGAGAACGAAGATTGCTGAACGAAGAATGAGGAATAATATTACAAAATATTAAAAAAGATTTTGATAGCCGAACCTGTCTACCTTTAATCTAGGATACATAGCTGAGAAACAGAGAAAGTAGACCAAGGACAGTTAACTTCAGAGGAAGAGACTCTATGTTTTTAGTAGGTTGTATAGAAGAGTTACTCCACCAGAGCAAAAAAAAACTAGTTCAAAAACAAAGCAGGATAAATCAATAAGAGGAGGGTATAGAGTTTCATTAATTAAGAAAATGCCCTGGTGAGGAGCCATAAAACGGTTTAGGGTGCGCTTACACAAACAAATTACCACGATGAGTCACGCCTCACCCGCCTGGCTATAACAATAAAATTCAGCCAGCTAGACGGGCCAAGATCCTTGCAGTGCAATCTTATACATCATTGGGTACATCCAGAAATAATCTTGGGTACTGCCTGCGTTTTGTCAATGCAATACTAATCAAATCGGTTATGATAAGTAACTACAATTAAAAAACATCTGCCAAGCAAGGTCAGTATAGCTTCCTCACCATTTTCATTGGCTAAATAATATATATATGGGGATTATATTCTCATAAACATTATCAGAATAAAATTCTCGGGAGAAGCAGATTGAGGAAAAGCAGTACTCCTTTAATATACATAAATTTTGTTCATCAGCGAATACTAAAATACAGAAGAGTTCCACATTTGCAAATCGTGTATTGTGATTAAAAAAACGCTGCAAATCATTTCACAATGGTTTATTATCTCCAAACAATTATACATCTAAAGTAACATTACCTTCCTAGTTAAAAAGAAAAAAAAAAGTGATTCCAATTATTGGACTAAACTGTTTTTCTTTAATAATTAGTAATATGCTAAAAAAAAATACCATTAGTTTAGTAACACATTTAAAATTTAAGAACCAAACCAAGGATATAACATTTGGAGTAGACACATAAAAAAAAACCGGAGATCATATCTTTGCTCCTAATTGTCCGATTTTAACGAGTTTTTGTTTGTTTTTTAAGGAAATTTCGTAAACTTTTAAAAAACTATACAATATCAACAAAAAAGTAAAAACTTTTCAAGTTATTCGGAATTTAATTTTACCATCCCTCGTAACTTTTTTTCCAGCTTCTTTTCGTTGAAGTGTGTTATATAGATAAATTTAAAGGGCGTCGAGAAAATGACTTTAGAGAATGGCGGAGAGTAATGTCGATGAAAGAGGATCATCCTCGGATGATCTCTGATTTTATATAAAAATTTGAAAAAAATTGGTCCAGTAGTTTCGGAGAAAATGCGCGGACGGCGGACGGACAAAAAATTTTTTATTCGTTTTTCGAATTCTAAGCGTCTTGAAACGTGAAACCTCAAATTTTGAGAGGGGGTTATATTTTTGAATTTTTTGGTCGATCACAATGTTTCATTATTGAAAATATTAAACCAAAAATCTCAGTACATACTGAACAATCTCAGTCCAAAAGCCCTTATGTAAAAATTGAGTGTTTTTTTTTTTTCAAAAGGGGATAAATTTTAAAACTAATTATTTCTTTATAATTAATATTTATCTATATTAACCAAACATCAAATGTTCGTTTATTCAAAACTACTAATCTCCGAAACTTCTTCACCGATTGCTTTGAAATAATGTTTCTATAGCATTCAGAAATGTTTTTATATACATTCAATAACTCTCCGGTCTTTCGTTTCAGAAAGGCGGCCGAAAAACCTGTGTCGCTATAGAATGTAGCACCTAACCGGCTGTAACGATTTTAATTAAACTTGGCTAAAGTCTTATCCTTGAAGCCCTTTTAATTTATGTATGTAATATCCTTCCCCGAAAAGAGCATGAAATAATATTTACGATGGGTTCAAAACTATATTTGCGAATAACTGAAAAAGTACACAATTTATGTACTCATCATAATTTGAAAGCTCCCTTGATTCCCTGTAAATAAAAAAAAAGTTCACTAAAATCGAACGATTTGGTGCAGAGATATAATGCTTTAAACATTTAGATTTTTTCTTGGGAGATTTAGAGACCGATTGCTTCTTATATAGACAATTATATGTTACGATTTCTAGAATTAGAAAATTAAACGAATACAAAGCTTCTCTACCTAAGGTAGAGAGGAAGCAAAAAAATAAATAGATAAATAAATAAGAAACAGGTTAATAAAAATTAATTACGATGAAGATTGGCTTTTTTTTTATTAGGTCATTAAAACATGAAGGTTTCATTGTTCAATGTATTTTCGGACACTAATTAGTCTCAAATTACTTTATAAATACAATGGTAAGGTAATATAAAGGATAATTAATTGATAACAATGGTTTGATTACGGTAAATATTTATTAGAGCCCCAAAGATAAAAAGAGTAAGTTTCATTAATTAGACGATAGTTAATCACAACAAATTATGTAAAAAAAAAAAAAAAAAAGAT